ACTACTGATAGTGTTTAACTAAAAAAACATAAAAAAAAAATTTGATAGGTAAACTTAGGGTTTGTATAATATGAAAGATGAGTGCAATTAGAGTTTTGAAAAATACAAGGAATTAAAAAAATAGAAGATGAAAAGCAAAAAACTTACATACAATCCTTCAAATGATTTGTGAAAGTTTCGGTGGTAGTCGGCGATGGAAATAGTGTTATAGAAAAAGGCAAGAAGAGACAGAGAATAAGTAGTCCAAGTTTAGTTTTAGATCGGTTAAAAAGTTACCATTAAAAATTTAATATAGAATTTGAATATACTTTAATTTGAGTTCAGAATAAGTTTTGTTTTGATTTGGTATGAGTTTGAGTCCAAGGTTGACAAAGTTTTTTAAACTATTTTGATTCAATTTTAAATTTGAGTCTACATTTGAGTCAAGATTAAAAATACTGAAACAATACTCAAAATCAATAGTTATTGTTTTAGAATAAATCCAGATTCCTTCAACCAGGTAATAACCTAATTGGCTTTAGTTAAAGGTAAAAGTCCTGCCCTCCTATAGTGATCATATGTTAAAACCAATTTATGGTAGTTCTCCTTATGAACCACCGGATACCGTTGAAAAGACTGAATATCTAGCTTGTCCTCGGTGGTGTTGGGTGACGGACTCAGTCATCTCAGACCAATAACTTTGAATCAAATTGAACATTTTACAAGAGATAAGAACCTCAAAAAAATGTCCTTAAAGAATTACTATGTCTGCTCATCCTCGACCACCATTTTCTCGAGAAAAAAAAAATCAGATTCCTTTCGATATATTTTTACTTGGCCATTTGGCTGTGTCATTGGCCCACTGCACTCGGAATATTATTATTTTTTTTTGGAACTTTATAGTTTTTAGAATTATGAAATGAATGTAAGGCATCCTATGTTCTACCTCTCTGCTTTCTGCTTTCTGCTTTCTACTTCTACGTGGGGTTCTTCATGGACCCATGCAAATTATTTCCTTGTCTGAATTCAGCTAACTATTTCATTTTAAGGGGGCTTTTAATTAAGAAAATAATTGAACTGTAAATCAATGTGATCCATCAAATAATAGGGTGTAACTCAGGTACATCAACAAGTTAATTGGACTCGATCTAAGTTACAAAAGAAAATTGATCTCCAAACCCGATTGTCAACTCGAATACTTGATTTTACGAGACAGTTCCCTAAAATTTGACTTTTAAGTATTCGATGCAAATTTAAGTTCACACAATTTAGGCTGAAATTCACGATCAATCAGAGTTGGGCATGGATTGGGTCAGAAAATTCAAGACTCCAACTTGTATATGATCAGCATTTAAATTTGGATAGGGTTTTTTTTTCTTAAATAGATCTAAATAATATAAATATCTACTTAAATACTAATTATGTTGAGGTTAGACTTGGTTTAGGTTCACGTTAACTCACCCAAATGACGATCATATCATTCAATGATCTTAAGTTTGTTAGCAATAATAAATAGGAAAACTTTTAGTTATACTCCTTTTAATTTATCATATTTTCAAAGATATTTTATTTTCTAAATCTTCACTAATACCCCTTGTCAGATTAAAAATGTTAATTAGAATGCAATTGTACTAAGTTATACATAATATATTTTAGGAAAAAACTTTATCCACGCCCCCTCTAGATAGACATATTTTCAATGAGACTTCTTCTATTTTCTAATTTTTTTATGTATTAAAATTTGGGTCAGTTAAAACTCGATTCGAACTAATTAAAATTTTATTTTTTATATATTAAAAATTTAGTTAATTAAAAATTTATATATATATATATTTAAAATTTTTAGCTAATTAAAATTTTATTCGAGACTCAAATCATATTTTTACCGACTAGCGTTAAATTTTAATCGGCCTGAATTTTGATATATAAAAAAAATATAAATTTTAATCGACTCAAATTTTAATTAACTTGAATAGAATTTTAATAAATAAAAATACATAAATTTTAATCCACTCTAAGAAAATTTTAATACATAAAAAAAGTCTTTTAACATGTTTGAATTTTAATATGTAAAAAATAAAATTTAATCACTTCCTATCAAATTTTAATCGATTCAAATTTTAATACGTAGAAAAAAAAATTTTAATTAACTCGAATTTTAATATATAGAAAAAAGTAATGTAGAAAGATTATTTGTGATTTATGTAGGGGCAATTAGTATTTTAGAAAATTTATTTTTGTTATAAATGATGGTTTAATGGCGGAGAATGTCGGTAATGTTTAAATATAGACTATAACGAGTGACAATGATTTTTTTGATAATATAGAAAACACCCCTGAAGATATGATAAACTAGAAGGGTCTGGCTGAAATGTTTCCTAATAAATACTTGGAACTAATGTTAAATAATAGGTTTAGTTTCAGTCGTTCAGAGCCCAGCCCAACTATCTCCTCACAGCCCAGTCCAAGTAATGGGTGGGAGGACTTCGTGAATTAAGAAGGATGGCAATTCGATCATACCGTGTCATGTTTCTATTGTTTTACTTGGGTAAATTGTAAAGGGTACACTAAATTAAATTTATTTGTCAAAAAATACACACTAAAAAATATAGGATTATTAAGTACTTAATTTTGATATTTATTTGTATCCAATTACATAATTTGAATTTATCTATTTTTATTGTGATATTTTTGCCCTTTATTAATCCATGTATATTTAATGCATCACTTTTCTTTGGAAAGTAGTGCATTAAACATCTTCTAGTTTTATGGGAGAACTTTAATACATATATATATATATATAATTGTTATTAAACCTTTTTTCTAAATTTTGAATTATCTTTTAATGAGCTTTGATTCATGCATTTTTTTTTAGAAATTGATTTTATTTTTAAATTAATTTAATATCTGAATAGTGTAATAGTATAACAATAACGGTGTAACAATATAAAATGTAACAATAAAAGTGTAACAATGTAACACTAACAATGTAACCGTATAACAATAATAGTGTAACAAGCTATTTACACAAAATATTATACTATTACATTTTGTCAAACATATAGTTTCATATAATTTCATTCAAAATAGTCCATTTTTGTTTTGAATTTGTTACTATACACACAAAATTACTGAACACTATATTTGTTACAGTGTATTTGTTACACTGTTATTATTACATTGTTATTGTTATACTATTACATTATTTGGATATTAAATTAATTTAAAAATAAAATTATTTTTCAAAAAAAAAAACGCTTGAATTAATGTGCATTAAATATAATTTGAAAACAAAATCACTTTTTTAAAAAAAAACTCATAAATCAAGGTGCATTAAAAATAATTTAAAATTTAAATAAGAGATTTAACAACAAATATATATATATATATATATATATGTGTGTGTGTGTGTGTGTGTGTGTGTATAAATAAATATATATATTCGTATATATGTGTATATAAACAAGTGTATATATATATATATATATTCATGTATTAACAAATACACGTGAATCAAAAGTGAATTAAATACGTATTTATATGTATTAACAACACATATGAATTAATGTGCATTAAAAATAAAAGATTTTGAATTAAATGATCCTAAAATGGGCATTTATGTCTTTTTAACTTATATTTTGTTTTATGTACTTTTTGTCAAATAAGTCTAATTAGGTGTACCGACTTCCAAAGAACCCGTTTTACTTTTAGTTTGTGCCGAATAATAATAATAATAATAAAATTAGATTTTTTATAATATCACAAATAAGCAAAAAAAAATCATGTTGTCGGGTTAAAATTGAATTACTCGTATTTAACACTAATCTAATCCGTTTTTTGCATCAAGAAATAATTAATTTTAATCCACTAATTTGACATCAAATTTATGACATATTAACGTGCCGTATTAAAAATTATCACCCATGGATTGAATAATCCATCCTTCATCCGCCCATGTACTTGTTCGCCTCCTAATTTTATGCTTTGTTTGGTATAGTACAAAAATAGAAGGTTGAAAAGTTAAAAATATAGATCAAACATCATATTTAATAAAAAAGAAAAAAATCAAAACAGTTACACATATATCCCTTAATATATTTATATACTTCATTTATCTATTATATTATATTATATATATATATATATATACTAGTTATAACTCGTACCTGAAGATACAGAGTAATAAAAAATAAAAAATAAAAAATATATTTGTATTTATATCCAACATCAAATCACAAATANCTAGTTATAACTCGTACCTGAAGGTACAGAGTAATAAAAAATAAAAAATATATTTATATTTATATCCAACATCAAATCACAAATAGAGAAGAGATAGATGAATTTAAATATCGGTTTGTAGTGGAGGTGAGAAGTGGTGGTGGTAGGAGACGGTGATGGTTGTGATGAGTGACAATGACCGTAGTGGCGAGGGCGAGGGTGAGGGCAACGGCGATGATGGTGATGGCGGCGGCGATGACGATGGTAATGGTGGTGGCGACGGCAGCGGTGGTGGTGGTGGTGGTGGCGGCGGTGGTGGTGGTAGTGACAGTAGTGGTAACTGCGATGGCGGTGGTGGTGGTAGTGGTAGTAGAGGTAGTGGTGAGACGGTTTCAAATACTATTTTTTTTAAAAGTATTTATAAAAAATAATTTTTAAAAATATTTTTAAAAAGTCACTTCAAACACACTTTTAGGGCCTATTTGTCCTATTAAATTTAGGTTGTTAATATTAACCGTTAGATTAATTTTAAAGTAAAAATTAAAGCGATCCCAACAGCGAATAACAAAAGTCATTTTGTTTATTTTTTAAAATTTAAATTGTAAATTACTTTATTTTATATATATATTTTTTTTTATCTAGATTCAACACACAAAAAAAATCAATTCTCTATACTTTCGGTCCCTTACACCAAACACAAAAGAAAGAATAAATGATTCTTCACTTGAAGAATAGAAATTGTATTTGTTGCTTCTCGTATTTTTCATCTTCCCCTTTACTCTACCAAACGCTCTCCGAAGAATTATTTAGGGCAGCAGTTGGGCCGAGTTTCGGCGTGGGCCAAACTCACGATGGGCTTTTGAGACGGAAGCTGAATATGGTTTGCTTCATCTGAGAGACGGAAAACAATCGCCGGCTATGTAAGAAGCGACTGGGCGGCATGGATGCGTATTCATGGTTGAAACGCAGTCTTTCGAGACCCAAAAAGACCTCCTCTCTACCCTCCTCCGACGCCCATCTTCAACAGAAAAGCAAAGAATCGCAAGACGGGGATGAAGAACAACAACTATATGGAGTCACTGAGCAATTGATTGATTTCATCAAGTCATTCACTCTCGACACCTTCAAGAACTTCCCTCTTCAAGGTTCCTCTTAGGATTATACTTCTTTTTTTGCGGGAATACATATATATGTGTGTTCGTAAATTGAGTGTGCTTGCAGATGAAAAGGCAGTTGATAGTGGTGGTGGTGATGGAGCTCCAACAACCTCCAGTAACTTACGGAAGGATTTGTCTGATTGGCAAGAACGACATGCCACCCTTGTCCTCTCCAAAGTCAAGGTTCTCTCTCTCCCTCTCTCTCTCAATTTGTGTCATCTTCAACGAATTCCCAATTGTGCATATGGGTTCTAAAGTTTTTTACGTTTTTGTTCAGTTGACGTGAATTCACCTATTTTTCTGATTTTCTTTATGAAAGGTTGATGTCATTGGTGAAAATAATGGGGATGTTGGAAAGTTTGCAACTTTGCACGTAATCAGTATAAAGCTCAGGGGCTTGTAATGCAATCGACTTTAGGGCTGCTAACAATGCTTAGCAACCAGGATTGGTGCGGTTGGATTGAAATGTTTTTTGGTGAATTGCTGTGCAATTGAACGAATTATTAGATAGTTGAATGTTAGCGTTTGAATAGAAAACTTATTGTTGTTATTAGGGCTTTGAGATTCAACATTATTGACCATCTTATGGATGAACTTCTGGGGACAGTTCCTTTAGGATCGGTAATATATTGAGTTAAGCATGGACAGTACAAGCAAAGATTAATACCATACAGGACGGGAAAAAATGAATCTAGGTGAATTTCATGGGAAAAAAGATTAAAGGAAACAATGTTATACAAGTAATGAAATCTTTAAAAAAAAAAAATTTGCTGTAAAAGAATGTGCTTAAACTAAATTTAGCTGTGATTGAAACCTCATTATTAAATAGAGGCAAAGAATTCCAGGCATCCTTGTCATCATGGTGGATGTAGGCCTGTAGCTTCCGTTAATTTCCTTTCCAGATCAGTGATATTGTTTTCTTTTTAAACTAGGAGCTAAATGCTGAAATGCTCAGGTTCATGTTGGTGTACAAAGTAAGAGGGCGGCTCATCATGTATTTTGAATTTAATGTGGAATGTTAAGTTTTCACTTTGTGCATCCCCACTACCTCTCCGTGTTTGTGGGAACAACACTGTTAATTGCCCTTCAGCTTTTTTCCCATCTTTTATGTTGTTTGGCATAAGATTACTGAACACTATTATCAGTTTTAATAGAAACTATGGCAGAACAAGGATATTGAAGAGTTGTTGGCGTGTTGGATTAAACTTCTGCACAAAAAAGAAAAAATGTGTGTGTGCTATAAATGGATGCTTCAAAAAATTGGGTCACTGTACACGTATATTGTTGTTTTGTCCTTTTCAATGTTCTGTTATGAGCTTAGTTTATGAGGAAGAAATTACAGAAAAAATATATTATAAAAATGTTTCTTCACCCCGAGTAAACCACATAAGTATCCCAATGACAAACAATCATCACCACTTTTGTTCTTATTCATTCGGTTAGTTTACTCAAAGATATGTAAACCTTCTGTTTGTCATTATTGTCTTCAAATTGTTTATTTTACCATTTCATAAGATCTTTTTTCTTCTTTCTTTTTTTGTCGATTTATTTTCTGAAGACATTTTACGAGGGAGACTAATAGTAAATCTGGGTGTATTAATTGGAATGGTGTACTTGTATTCTCTTTTGCTTCTCTAGGGTGAGCATTATCTTATTAGTCAGTTGGCTTCTTTAAAATGAATTTTCTTTCATGATTGATGAGATGAATGAGGATCTACTTTTTCTGAAGAAAGAAAATTGAGGATATACTTCTTTAATAGTTAACAAGTGTATTGTTTTGGATCTTTTGTTAGCTTGATTGGTTATCTTACCTGTATGCTTATTATTTTTAAAATTTAATGTTTTTATGCGTATGATTAGCTCCTGTAGTGATTCTGCTTCTCAACAATTTCCCCTCCTCCAGGAACTGTCAAATCTTAGATTTAGGTTATGCCCGCGCTACTTGAAGGAGCAGGAGTTCTGGAGAATATATTTTACACTTGTCAAGAGCTATGTGGCTAAGTAAGTTGTGTGTGTTTTCAAGAAAATTTGTTAGTTAATTGCATAATTTTTGCTCCTGATTTGGACCTAGATATTGTCCTCCTTGTAAATTCTGCAATCGATTTTGGGTGGAAAAAATCCAAATCGAAACAGAAAAGGAAGCATGTCATTTTACAAAAAATGTGGTTGTAACTCATTAATAATGAATAATAACAATGGAGGATATAGAATCACTTTGTTTGGATCATGTCTGAGAGATATATTGTTGTAGATGGTCCTTTCAGTCCTGTTTTATTGTTTCATTCCTCATAGGAGGTTGATGTCTTTTCATATGCAGCAAGCTCAAACAAGTTCTAGTTGGCATACTTATATTTATGTAGTAGTTGCAGTCAATGCGAAATTGTCAGCTTTCTTTTTCTTTTCTTATTCTACAGACCATGAGTATTGATTTGTCTTTCATTCACTCTCAAATAATTTCCAGATATGAGCTGCACGCCATACGGCTAGCACAACTTAAACAGTTGAGGGTGGAGAACGAGAATAGTGCGGACACAAATGCATGTGAAGTTGAAATGTCAGAGGCAAAACAAGTGGCAAGTGAAGTGCCTGTAACTTCCTTGGAACCCTACTAGGATTTCACTTTTATATGAGAATGGAAGCAGAGATGTTTGAGAGGTATTAGTTTGTTCCTTATACGTTTTTGAAAAGGTTTGTGCATTTTTGTGCTCAAATACTCACTTGTTGAAGTTTATTTATTTTTTTCTTTGTATGTTGTAATTATCCATTGTTGACTTGACAAATATCAGCTTTAATTAAATGATTTGGTGGTGATGATCCAGTAAGAGGAGGAGATATAAGAGCAGGGTGAACAATTGGATTTGTCACTTAGTGAAGTCCAAGTTGGCTACATTGGCACGAAAGAACCGGAAACTCTTCTGGGATGACTTGGCATATTGATGTATTTAAATCTCCAATCCCTGTGAGTCACCTAAATTACAATTGGTTGACTTCAATCTTCTTTATTCTGTTGAGCATTGGGCTCCCATAAGTTATAACAACAGAAACAGATTTATAATAATACTGATAGTTTTGTCCTTCGACTGCTTTTAATTTCGGTTTACTTATTCTTTAGCACAATTGATGGTTGTTTCTTCTGTTAGATGACCAAAATAGTTTCTTAACTGTCATAGTTATCACGAACATTTAGCAGCATGGAACTTGGACTATAGTTGATTGTTCTTTTGCAAAATAATGATGGAAAAGCATGTTTGGAGTAACAATAACAGGTGAATTACTAATAGATGTTGAGAATGTGGCACTAAACAAGCTGTGCAATTAAAATAAAAATATTTGTGTAGAGGGTGGTATTTGGCACAATAGTGAAGTTCTTTTCTGATTTGGACATCAAGAGTTTTAATCGCATAAACAATCATTCCATACATTAAAGTTACAACCGTCTCGTATACCGAATTTACTGTCAGTGTGTTTGTAGCTTTCATGACTCTACAGAGCTCAGCTCAACTCAACTCAGGTTTCATCCCAACAAGTTCAGTGTTGTTTGGGTAAGAAAGTTTAGTCTTAATTGGGTAAGAAAGTTTAGGGTGTTGGCTCTCTGCATTTTCTATTATTATGAAGGAAGGTTGTTTTCAGAAATGCAACAACCTACTCATTGACAAGCAGCCAAACAAATCTCGACATGTTACACCCAAAGCAAGGGGAAAGAGAGCAGAGGTGGAAATTGTGTTGGGTCATGTATCTATCGTGTCATTTTGAATTTTTGTCTAGTATTAGTTAACTTAAATTGAACCGATTTAACTAATTGTGTCATGTAAACTTATTTATTTTCATATCGTGTTCATGTTGATCCATATAACTCGTGAGTAAAAAAATTTAACACTTATTTTTATGTCTAAAATATTATTATCACTTAATCGAACATATATGTTCATATTTTTTTTATAAATTAACTTAATAAATATAATAATAAAAATGAATAAAAATATTCTTTTTTGGTACAAGAATTAGATTACTACTTGATAAAATATAATAAAAGATTTAAATTGTATTCTTATAATATTACTTAAACGTGTTAATCATGTCAATTTTATGTTGTTCGTATTTGACACTAATTTAATTCATTTATTATTCGTATTAACAGGTCGTGTCATATATAGGTTTGTGTCAAAAATTACCACCCTTATCCCCCCCAAAAAAAATAAATATATATATATATATATATATACAAGCACAACAAAAGAAAAAAAAAGCCAATAGTAGTAGAAGCATAGTAGAGATTATTAGAATTAGCGGTCACTCAAGGTAATTTGAGGTATAAAACGAAAACAATAAATGAAGTTTTTTTATATTTTTAATATTATTTTTTTTAAATAATTTATTTTAATTTATTATGTGAGAGGGACAGAAGAAAGACGTGCAAGTGTTGCTAAAAAAAATGTATTAATTTTTGTTTTTGTTTTTTATTAGAGAGATAGAGTTTAATTTTAACTTAATTTTTTTATATTTTTTTACTTACTAGTTGATACACATGTGTGTTACACATGATTATGTTGTGTTATAATTTTTATCAATATTGTTAATTGGACTATATAAGTGTTTCAATTTTCAACCTTATGGAAGAATAGTTATTCTTACTATATCTCAAACTCATCTAGCAACATATAGGTATACCAAAAAAACTTTGACTCCTCGTNATTGATACACGTGTGTTACACATGATTATGTGGTGTTATAATTTTTATCAATATTGTTAATTGGACTATATAAGTGTTTCAATTTTCAACCTTATGGAAGAATAGTTATTCTTACTATATCTCAAACTCATCTAACAACATATAGGTATACCAAAAAAACTTTGACTCCTCGTAACTAAGTTAACATTTTAAATTTTATGAGTATGCAAGTTCCCAAATTTTGTCCCAATAACATTAGTGTTGTTTTAAATCACCAATCAAATATTTAAGATAAAAACTATTTATTACTTAAATTAACAACAAACCTTCACNACAACATATAGGTATACCAAAAAAACTTTGACTCCTCGTAACTAAGTTAACATTTTAAATTTTATGAGTATGCAAGTTCCCACATTTTGTCCCAATAACATTAGTGTTGTTTTAAATCACCAATCAAATATTTAAGATAAAAACTATTTATTACTTAAATTAACAACAAACCTTCACGGGGACTTGTTTACTCCAAAATACTATCCAGACAATAATATTAGAACAATAAATGACTTCAAAAAATTCATTTTGCTGCCCCTAAAGTTTGAAACTAAACAACTAATCGCCACTTCAATTACACAATGACCTGCCATTAACAAAAAAATCACATAAAAATGAAATAAAACTAACATCTACATAAAATCCACACCTCATAAACCATAACTTGAGCACAATAGGAGAGAGAAATCAAGTAATAACAAAGGATATGGAGAGAGTAATGTACTTTGACATAGAACCTGATACATAAGTGATAGTCAAGGTGGGTTGTATAGTTTCATGAGAATCCATAATGTAAAACATATCCTACCCTTAAAGTCTACTTGCTCCATCATTCCACATGAAAGGGAATTAGTTATATGTTTCTAAACACAAATTTAGTTTTAGGGACATTAATCATACAAATCAATAAAGTCATTTGTGAAACATTTTTGTTTTGTCAAAGAATCAATAAGATCATCTACAAAAGATTTTTGGCTAGCCAAAAGTGAAATTTTATGTGAGGCAAACACACCTTGTGCAAAACAACATCATAGACTAATCTAAAAGAAAAAAATGAATAAAACCAGAAAAAAGTTTGCACAATAAAATTCAGCCCAAGTTTGTTAGTAACTTGAATGGTTGAAATGTAGATGATGAGCCTTTAAACAACCAACAAATTAGTTAAATCCCATAGAACGAGTTTTTATTTTTTTCTTATCCTTCTCAAAACTTTGCCCTTGGAATTGTTGAATTGGTTCCAGCCAAGAACCATCAAATCCAACTTCTTGAGAAATGTTGTTGCACATAGATCATTNAGATGGTTAAAGTGACGATGGACAACCTTCACATAAAAGAGAGAAATAGAGGGGATGTACTTACTGTATATTCTCTCATGCATGTCAAGGGAACCTACAAATTATGAAGTCATTCTTGAANATTTGCTTTTATTGTGTATAGGTCTTTTAAATATCACAACCATTCCTATATTAGTATCAGAGATTCAAGACTAAAGAAACTCAATAACCATTTAGAGTCGGCAAGAAATTTGTTTCACTTGTTCTTGCATTTATCTTGTTTAGAAATTTAAGATCCCAATATCTGTTTTACCTATAGTAAGTGATTGCCAAATTTGGTGTCCATGAATATATATAAGGGATGAATCCTAAATTTGTGCACATCTAGTGTTAGAGAAAGCTAAGGAATTTTTTAAAAACTAAAGCAATTCATTGTTTTAGAAAAAAGATGAGTTGTTAAAATTCAATGTAAACTATCTATAGCTATGTGTATGTATTTCCAATGCAATTAAATTTGTTTTGTATAACCCTTTGTATTTCCATACTCCTTAAAGCAATCAAACCAACTATCCAGCTTGTAGTCCCTTCCCCTTCTCCATTCCTTCTTTTTTGAAACATGAACAATTTTACCCATAGGAAAATTACCATCAAGGAAGAAATCAGAATAAAAAATGTGAATTAAAAACTATACACAACTAACAAAATCGATAAACTAAATGGATTTTTTAATTGTATTGGGGCCTTCTCATTTCTTGTTAAGTGATCTCAATTTTACCCAAAAAAGATTAATACTAATCATAACTACATGACCAAGAATAAATGATATGCGGTGAAACATGTGTAACCAAAGGTGGGTCAAGAAACTGAAATTGTTGGTACTTGACTACACACTTAAGCTAATCTCTCCCATGAATTATCTATTACATATATTCAATCCAAATTCTTGCATTAGCCACGAGTTTGAGCCAACATGATTTGTGATTCGACACTTGATATGCGCGTTGAGAGTGCATTTGTCCACCTAGGATCAAGACAAACTTTGTCAAGCTGGCCAGAAACATTTGTCCATATACATGAGTGCTATTTCAACACGAACAAGAACATCTTACTTGGACTAGAAGAAAGAAAACAAAATATTAGACTTGATGGTTAAAGTGACGATGGACAACCTTCACATAAAAGAGAGAAATAGAGGGGATGTACTTACTGTATATTCTCTCATGCATGTCAAGGGAACCTACAAATTATGAAGTCATTCTTGAAATACTCTAAAAGGTGCTCGGCTAGTATAGGATGCCACCATAATTATTTGAATTCAAGGATATACAGTGCAGTGTGGAATTAGACAATCAGATAAAAATTGGTGCTTATATATAGATGTCCAAGCATTTCTCTAGTTTCTCTCTCTCTAGTGTTATTTAGTGGGAATAAGAAAAGTTGGGAGTAAATTACCAAATTATAAATATTATTAATAGAGTTAATTAAAGGCTGAGAAGTTGGAACATCCAAATGTAAATGGGCAAATAATTGAGGGTAATTAATCTGACATAAATATGACTTTATACAATTGTTTAAAGGTGATTATGAAAAAAAATATTTTTTTGGTTTAGTAGTCTTTTAGAAGTAGGATAGGATAAATATAGATATAGATAGATAGAGATATTTATATTTATATATATGAATTTAATTTGAAATTAATATTAGAGAAATATTAAATAGAAGAATATGAAAGGGTAGGATATTAGAGATATTAGATCTTTCACTAAGGTTATTTAGGTCAATCAATAATTTTTCACTTTTATGTACATTTTATAGTAGTATAGATATAAATAGATAGATTTTTAGAGAGAGAGAGAGAGAGAGAGAGTGTGTGTGTGTGTGTGTGTGTGTGTTGGTTGGTAAAGATAAGTATGAGTTAACTTTAAGTACTTTTTATTTTTTCAATTTATGATTTTTAGATTTTTAATGTTTTGAATTGAATCATGGATTCAAATTATTACAATAAAATTTTTGACTATACTTAATTTTTTGGGATTTTTTTAGGGTTTATAATTTAATAGATTTAAATTTTTTCTGAGTTAATAATGTACCTAAAACTATAATTTTTTAAAAAATTTAGAGTCTAAAATCCAAGCTTTATTTTTAATACAATTGAACCGCCCTGATCAAAACTATTGTGAAAATAATTTTAAACAAATAAAAAAAAAGGGATATGAACTTTGAAGGAAGAATATAGCACCGAAATTTATTGTATCGAAATTCACAATTTTTTAAAATCAAGTTATATTATTTTGAGGTAAAAAAATTACAATTTAAAAAATAATAAATATTATAATGTTTAAAGATAAAATGGCTATTTTTTAGGTCAAGTTACATATTTTTAAACATAAAATTACAACTATTCCATCATAATATCAATGCCAGTAACTTAGAATTACCCTAAACTTTATTGAGTCAGTTCTAAATTATAATAACACGCACAAAAATGTGATACAAATAATCTCTGAACCGTACGATATTCACATGTGAAAAAGCAATTTTACACACACAAGATTCTCGGCACTCAATAAATGCCCCCTTGATTTTACTGAGCAGCTTTACTACTACCACAAGTTCAGTGAAAAGGACAAAATTGTAATAATAATAAACCCACAAACTCCATTGCCACTGACACTGGAGGTTCTGACTATCGTCAGGTCAGGTCAGGTCCATAGCTCCAAGTCTGAATACTTATCATGAACAATCAATCCAAAGGCTGTTAAGCAAACCGCCCAAGAACACAAGGGTCCAATTCCTCCTTCAAATTGCTACTTGCTAGGCTACATATGTACATTAATAAGTGAAAATTACAGGATACATGTTGTATACACAAAAAAAAATCAATATAACTGATACAGAATTTAGGAAAATCAAATGCATGGTGTTAAAATTTATACCAAGTCAAGTTTCAAGGAGGACCCCCCACGGTTGAACCAGAGGCCAGTTAACCACCAGCCAACCTCACAAGGTTCTTCGTACACTAGCCATCATCGTACCTCACAAGAGGGCCAAAAAGAAGGGATGCAATCTTACCATAGATTACATACCCAGAAACATCACCATCAAGACATTAATTTGAAGGGTTGGCTGATTTTTTCACTTGTTTTCAGTGGAGGTGAAAAACAATTGCAGAACTGAGAAAGAGACAAAGACCAGAGAGGGAAACGAGGCAAGTCACATTCATTACTCATAACATAAAGGGTATTCATAGTTCATCATGTCAATTCCCACCAATATAGAAAGAAAACAGAATAGAGAAGTTTTAATAAATAAATAAATAAAGCATAAAGAGGCAGGAACGAGAATTTGGTAATTCATTATCAGCCATTGCATGTTACAGTGATAGAGTAACTTTTCTTCCCATTCCAATCCTAGTTGATTAGTGTGTAATTAGTCAGCTCTGTTATGTTAACAGTACTTTAAATTACACATCTTTCATAACTACTTTTTACATTGACTAAGAAAGGGTGGTACAAATGAGTCACCCCCACTAAACCCAGCCCCTTGGCTTCAAAATTCACAACACATTTCAATGGAGGAGTTGCAGGAAAGAGAAACCCACAATGGCATGTATCCTGCTTATGGATTCACTTTCACCCATTCGTAGCGTCCTGGGAGGGGTAAATCATTTAAGACATCAAAGTTGTACCTGCAGAAACACCCAAAAGAATATAAGGTTTCATAAGCTAATGGAGGGGTAGGTTATAATTCTGCAAAAATGTAATGTAGTTGAAATAAACTATGCCAACTGTCTTCTTTTACTTAAAGAAAAGGCAACACATACTTCTCCATAAAAAAATTCTGTTGCTGCTGCTCCACACAGCTGAAGAATTCTTCTATCTCATGCATTGTAGGAACGATTGTTTGCATGGCAGTCCTAATTCTTCGATTAGCTGTTGTAGCCCTGGTCGGTCTCGTAGTAGAACCAGGGGTGGCAATGCTGTCCAAGTCCCTCATCAAGCTACAAGGTGTGCTTTCCCTAGTGCTCCTGTCAAAAATTGCAAAACTAATCAAAATTATGCCATACTATATTTTTTATTTTCCAGCACCAAAGAAGAAAAAATGCACACTCTAGCTACAATTTGTACAATGTATGGCATCACGTATGCTTAGATCCCGTTAACCAAAAGGATTAAACAAGAGAAGTTATGTAAGAGTTTGCACAACATTCCTCACGGACAAGAAAGCCTATCGCAAAGTTGTTTTGCTTGCCTCCATTACAATTAAAGTTACCTCAATTTTTACTTCACATAACCATAATGGAGAAATGGAAAAACAGAGTCACTAAATGCCTCGTTGACTGTACAACCAAGAAACCCAGAGTCAAAACTGATTTTTCTGAGAAGCAGATGAACAAAAGAGCGGTCCACTTCATAAAGCTCCTGCCAATATGCGCTCTAAGAAGAGTTGGATGTGTAGAGCCTTATACAACAAAGGTTTTCTTGGCCATTGCAGCTATAAGTAATCAAGGATAATCAGATATGCCATACTTTGCTACTTATAGCAAATAAAAATTATAAAACAGAGTACCCCACATACTTATTCAGTCTCTGGCATGGCCAAATGAATAAGATATATCATTGAAAACAAGAATGAGCCAGGAAAGTTATTGCTCCCAGTATGACTGGAGGAAAAAAAGTTTTTCTCCTTCAAATGATTACAATGAATTCACCACATACCAACAATTCTTTTTTTTTTTTTTTTAACTAGTAACTGCCAAACAGTAGAACAACTTTCCCAGCTATTTTCATGTTTCATGCATCTGAATAAAGGATTCACGAGCAAGCAAAAATAATCTATTTAAACAAGATAGGCCCACATACATAAATATATCTCCAACATCCACTGAAATAAAACTTCACGGGACAAATAACTATGTTCCTCTTTTCCTATTTTTCTTGTTGCATCTCTTTTTGTTTGTTACTCCCTCCGTTCTTAAATATCTGTCGTTTAAGGTTTTTGCACAGGGATTAATGAAGCTATTAAATAGCTTTAGTATGAGTAAAAAATAATTAAACAAGACTAAAATACCCTTATTCAATACATATTGGAAAGGAAGGAAATATAAAAGACACTGAGCCTACACTTAATCTATTAAGCACTTATTGGAAAATAGAGATAAGGGTAAATTTGAAAGAAAAAATATTAATTATACTCTAATTTCGTAAAACGATAGATATTGTGAAATAAAAAAAATTGGATAAAACGACAAATATTTAAGAACGGAGAGAGTATTCAAGAAAATAAGAGCATTAAAAAGCAGCTTCTTTGATGTAGAAAGAAGGAAAACTTGAACCATAAATAGCTATGTGGGGCTACCATCGTTGCAGTTCCAGAAACAAGATTTGTGCATTTCATTAAATGAACCTCCCACCAGTCACAAACATCACTAGCCTTTTCTGAAAGCTATTTCACACATCAGTGCTTAAGTTTCTGAGTCACTGAATAAAATAACACAATAGATGAAAGGGGACACACAACAAACCTGAATAGCATCGGACCAGAGAAGCATGTTTAGCATACTTTGTAGGCGAAAACACACACACACACAAGCTAACAAGCACACATGCTGTAACTCCCCCCACCCATGTTCCCCAGTAACTGGTTCCAGAAACAAGAAAAAAACACATTAAACAAGAGGTAAGAACAACACCCCCCCCCCCAAAAAAAAAAAAAAAACCGGAATATGGGTTGCAAGAATCAACCCCAAAACAAAGAGGACAACTATAAAATTTCAAAGATTAAAACCCTTTGAAGCAATTAGTTGACAAAAGGCACATTTTATGTACAAAGTAGCAAACCAAGCCGGAAAACAGACAACAGTTTCATTCATGCAACCCTCGAATGATATCTTTTTCCGTTTATCCCTTTCTTTTGCTTGAAATAAATGGTACCAACAAAACAAATACTAAGAAAAAGCAGAGAGATTTTTTTCTGAGTGTGAATACAAAAGCACCCCCGACTCCGACCCCTTTAGCACAAAGCCACACAAAAATGAAACCTTTAAAGGCCAAAAATCCTTATTTTATTCTTTTTGAAACCAAGAAAGAAAGGAAAGCAAAAATAAAAAATCACAGGATAAAAAGAAAAACCCCAAAAACAGAGATGAGCATAGAAGTGTTGAGGAATCTGAACATGCAAACACACATGCAACCAACGAAATAGAAAATTCAAATAAAGAACATAAAACTAGAACCGAATATACCTTTCTCGTGCTTCAAACTCCAAATTGTTCTCTCCAAAAGAAGCCTCAACGCCAAAATCACAGTCATCCTCTGTTTCATCTCCTTTGCCAGCAATAACAGTGGTTCTACCCAAATCTTTCTCGCAACAGCTAATTGATACCGAGCCAACAGAACCCGATTTCATAACACTCATCCTCACACAAGAACTCGCCCTAGAATCAAGGTTTTCACCACTATTGTTTTCAGGGCTTCGTCTACAACTACCCTCTTTTGGTGGCAATTTTTGTTGTTCTTGGTGTTGTTTTCGTATGTCGCTGAGCAACGGAGGCTTTTCGAGCCTCCTAGAGCGAAGCTGAAGATAACATGATTCTGGGTGTTGGGGAGGTGGTGATTGGGCTCTGCTTGTCGTTGAGTGGAGCCTTTGAAGAGCTAGGGTTTTGGCTCTGGTTCGAACGCCGAAAGAGGACTGAGAGACCTCCATGACGGCAACGTCGCCACTGATTTTAGCTTTTCTCATGTACTTCCCCATGTCTCTGTTTCTGAATCAATAACTAAGGTTTCATGTAGTCCGAAAAATGGGTGTCTGTGTATCTCAGAGAGAGAGAGAGAGGAGGGAAAAGGTACAGGTGTGGGACTTAAACTGTAAATGGAGGAGGTGATTGATGTTATTAGGGTTTGGGTTTAGGGAACACTACTGCTAATTTCTCATAACGGGACGAGAGTAATATTATTATTCTTTGTTTTGCTTTTTCAATATCTCGGAAATGATATTTTGTTTTATTTTCCACGTGACATTTTTTTATTTTTGTTCCTATTTACCGCTAATTCCAAGGCAACAAATTTATTTTATGATAAATGATGTGGCATAACTATTATAATAAATATTTTCTCACAAAAAGAATCTAATTTTGTTACATCATGGAGTTTGATTATACTAGTTTTTATGAATCAAATACCAATAGAGTGATCGAATATTGTTGGACAGGTTAAATGTCTAATTTATCTTTGACGGTGCTGTGAGATCAGGTTCGACCATACCAAATCGTAGTTATAGCTCAAATGTCATAGTTGTCCTGACCACCATTCTTTGCCAGCAAAAAAAAAAAAAAAAGACCGGCAATCTTTGGTTCTCAAAAAATATATAAAAGATTTTTCTTTCTTTTATTATTGAGTAATGCACCAGATAATACTAGATTGACCCAAAAATAAAAATAAAAAAATATTATAGGGACCTAATTTAATATAATCGTTTCATTAATTGAGAATTGAAAAGTTAGATTAAGTCTACTTTTAATTCAATGTCTGCATTTAATTAGGTCATTAAATTATGTTCTTAAATTACAAACTTACATAATAAATAAATATTAAATAAATAAAAGGGCGACCGACCAAACGATATCATATCACACCGGACGGACCGCAAAAATACCATTATTAGTCTAACATTATTCTTCCCTAAAACATAACCCAAAAAATATTTTTAAAAGCATTTCTTCATCAGTTAAACAAAAACAATTTACTTTTATTTTTGAAAACTGAACACTTAGAATTGTGTTCATCAAAATTAGTTAATGGATTCAAGGTGTTTCAATCAACATGATCTCTTTTAAATATTATAAGTGATCATAAATTTCAACCCTCTTCTTAACTTGGTATCTAAACCAAGATTAGATACTTAGTATTATCATAACCATTGCATTCAATGGGTAGGTTGAGACTACTAAGCAAATTAATGTTCCAAGCCATTGGATTCCTTCCCTTCCGATCCTTCCATTGCTTCTTCATCTTCGCTCCAATTAATGATGTTGAAATTTGAAGTGAAGTGGGGCCAGTACACAAGTGGTTTGGTGATAAAGATTCTCTTTCAAGACTAGGTTGACTAATTTCATACCTCCACGGTCTACATGAGTATGATGATTAATATGCAGAGAATATTCAAGTTTCTGGTTAGGGTTTGAATTTTCATCCAAATGTAAATTTTGATTTAATTGGTGAATAAATTAAAAGATCAGTTGATGCACTTAAGATTTATCTTCGGTTCTACTTAAATTTACAAGCCTGAGTAACATAAGTACGCTTCTACTAATCGGGGACAAACTAGAAATTTCTCCCATTATTCAAAAAACAGATGATGAGGATTTTAAAAAAAGAACAATGTTTCGGGTACCTTATTTAAAGATCAAATGATGTGATTTTAATACCACTATTAGATTAATTACGAGGATCTACACGAGGATGACGAATTGATGATGAAGCTGATGAGGATTTTTTTTTGGGATATGCCATGAACCACCAATTCATACCTTCTCCCCTTTACTTCAGAATGGCCCACAAAAAGAACTATACTCGTTAATGTCAAGGACTAAGTTGTTGAGCTTTTAATGAGAGCCGACGAAAAATATAGAAATGATTTTGTATAAAGCTTTGAGAGGTTTTCTAATGGAAGGGCGAGGAATTTATAAATTAGTCCGCATCTTAATTTGGGCCGATCCATGGGGGACTGGAGAGCCAAACACACCGACCAATGATCATCTTACACCGAATCGACTGTAGTTTAAGTGATAATATAAACTCAGACGTATTGAGTTTGAATATTAATAATTTTTAGGGGCTAAGTCATGAGTGATTTGTATGTTATGATACTCTTATTCTGACGAAAATTATCAACCTTTGATCAGGCCAGAGAGATTAATCAAAATGTGTGTAAACTCGTTTGTACATTCTTGATCGTCGAAACAAAAAGGAAAAAGATCACCCTACACATCTGAGAGTAAGATTGCCCATGGGTCACCACATAATGGTCTACTCCGACTGATAGGCCCAACAAATCAGCGGGCTTTCGGGTCAATCCAAGGGCTACGGGCCATTGTTGAGGCTAGGCTACACATTCATTCGTAACCTCAAGGGATAATTTAAGTCATAATAAGACGAAATGTAATGTTAGATATTTTGAATTTAAATTTTAATATTTTTTTAAAATCAGACAATNTTAACCTCGAGGGATAATTTAAGTCATAATAAGACGAAATGTAATGTTAGATATTTTGAATTTAAATTTTAATATTTTTTTAAAATCAGGCAATAAGAAATTTATTATTTGTAAATATTTTAATTTTGACATGAATGACCTACTTTTAATTGAACTATAGAAAGTAGGTAGAAATAAATTTTCATCAACTTACTGAAAACAACATGACTCATAAAAAATTTCAAAATATTTCGAAGTTAAAACGTATTTTAAAAAGAATTTGGGTAGAAATAAATTTTATACTACCTCATTATTTTTACCATAATTTTTTTATCCTAATAAGACAATTAAAAATTCAAAAAATAAGTTAAAGTTAAAGATAAAGTTTAAGAACTAATTATAATATTTAATCTTATATTTTATGAGATTTTCAATTATATTTATTTATTCTCTTTCTCACCATCGACTGTACTCCTATAGCTTACCCCTATAAAAAAAAGAATCTTTTTCATTCCAAAGAAATTCCCGCCAAAAAATCTTTCTCCTCACATGTCTAAATGGAACAAGTCAGTCAGGTCACTCCTTCGTCTCTAAATTTGTTCTAGTCAATGAAACAATGGGTCTCATTTTTTTAATATTTTTCATCTAATAAAATTTTAAAAATTGTATTTTATTATTTAATTATTATTTAATCAATGATTATAAATAATTTAAATTAAAATCAACTGCTGAAAATAAATTTTAATACAATATCGAATTGATACTATAGTTGTATACTTCCCAAGGTTTTTACACCAAATACTCTATGTAAATGATACCCTCCATTGTCACACCCAAGTATTTTAAAAAATCATTGGCATTATAATAAATTAATAGGACCCATGTATATGATGATATTAAATGTTTCATATCAATTGAGTTAATAATTTACTAAAATATAGTTAATATGATTAAAGCACCAACTATGCTAACTAGAAGATTTGCAAATGAGACGATTGCCTCTACACTAATAAGATATAACTAATTTTGAATTCTTAAATTAATGTATCATAAGAGTGGTTGAGATTCGTTCAATTCACCAGCTCAGATTGGTTCTTAAAAAATTTATCCCTCAAACTTGAAAACTCCAATTAATCCATACATTTTTACGCTAACTAATGTCGGACTAAACCATTTCTCTTCTATCTCTCTCTATTAGGGATGCAGAATAATTTATTTTTTGATTGTAGAATTTTAAGGAAAACTTGTTGAACAATTTAGGCACCGACAATTTTTAGTTATAGATATTTGACATGTTTGGAGCTGATTTTTTCAGGTGAAAAGTTGGGATTTGAAAAGTTTCACAAAAAAATCCTTTAAAATCATTTGGAGTGTTCTTTAAAAAACTAACAAAATTAAAAAAAAAAATCATTTAGAGTGACTTTATAACTTTTTTCGTTTCAAAAAAAAATTGCATGTATGTATAATAGTTATGAAATAAATTTTAAATTTTTTTGCGGCACTAATAATATTTATGAATATAATAAACTAATTTTTGTGGGACTCATGAAAAAAATCTGAAAAATCGGGAAAAAAAAAGGTAATAAAATCAATTTTTTGAATTAGCCTACATAAGTTTTTTTTTATCCAAAAAATTTATACATAAGTTGGTAAAAACGAAAATTCAAAAAAAACTTGACTTATTTTACTCTAAAATTCTTAAAAAATTGCATATTTATATTAGCTTCAAACAGACCCATTATATGGGATGAGTCGCCCCTAATTGTGTGGAGATCATAAGCAACAAAACATAGATGATAGATCCAACAAATAAATATCTTTAACCTTGTAACTTTTGAAGTGGATTTAACATTTTTTTCTTTAGTATCTATACCATGTGTTCTCAATGCATCATTCATCCAAACTTAGAATGAATGAAGGATTTTCAAATAATATTTGTGTTCTAACAAAATTCTTAAATTAATTCAATTCTTTGGATCAATGAATCTTCATAATGCACAAAAGTGTTTATACAAAATCAGTTAAGTATGTAATGGAGTATGCTCAGCAAAATCAAACACACAGATTAGGTTGTTCAATCAGAGTGACTTACTCTACAGTGAATGACTACAATGACCAAAGATTTTTATTACTCAAGGTGTATAGAGCGCCGAGAGATGGGTGATGCCCCAATGTATAGGCGAAATTTACAATTTATAAGCAAGAGAAGTTTCATAACGACTCCGATAGAGTACTGATTGAGGCGTCATTCTCGTAACGGAGAGCAGAATGGTTCCATGAAACTGGCGATGTACACCCCTAATAATTAGTAGTTTAAATTTTATACACATCATATTCTTATCTTCATTAATATATATATGCAATCGAATTTACAGGTAAATAATGCGGAGTCTTTGCTAGACTGAATTCTATGAGACCTATTTTGTTTTTTAGACATTATTATATGGAGAAAGTGACGATAAAATTTGAACTCGTGTCCAATAGTAGTATGCTTAGGATTGATAATCGAACAAACCTGAATGAGTTCGAATTGAATATGTGAACTCATTTTTTAAAACGAACTTGAATGAATCCAAAATAAATCAAACCCAGGTCAAATTTGAATAACTTAATTCGATTATCAACTCNCTCATTTTTTAAAACGAACTTGAATGAATCCAAAATAAATCAAACCCAGGTCAAATTTGAATAACTTAATTCGATTATCAACTCGTCATTTTCTGAAATGAGTGACCCATTATCTTAAAACTTGGTAATTTGTGATGGAATCTCTATCACCTTTACTTCCCACGACTATGCTATGGGGTTCGTTTTAAATAAGAAAATATTATTTGGACTTAATTTAGAGATTTTATTTAGGAATTTAATGATATTAGTTTGCACACACGTGCATTGCACGTGAACAATCTTAACTTATGGTTATACTGGTAATGCTAGTTCAAAGATTGATATTACGACAAATAGCCTCACATACTATCCTTTACAAGATTGGATCAATTAAAAAATGTTTCATTCCAATGAATACATCATAAACCAATGAAACATAACATAAATTCGTTGATTAACTTAATGTAAAAAATAAAATTCAAATAAAAGAGTTTTTTTTGGTCAAAATATAAACAAATAAATAAATAAATTAGATAGTAATAGTATCACTTCATTGCTATGTCCAATTGCTTTTTTGTTTGTAACAGTTAAACCATAAACTGAAATAAAAATCATAGGAATTTTTTAATTTAAAAATTTATTTAGCAGATAGGCAAAAAGAATGTTAATTCTTAATTTGAGATTATAAACAATCATGTTACTCTAGTTATTGAACAATTAATAATATACTTGGAAGTGATTCACATAAAGGGAGAAAAAATATTTATCAATTCTTTATGGTGTGTGTGGTACTACTACCCCCATTTATTTAATGACATCATCTAAACACCAATAATAAAATATTTCGTTGTGACCCAAAACACATTCTTTGGTAAACCTTAACAATGTTAGCAAAAAATTTGAACAAATATAAATGATGTACAATGTTACTAAGTTGCAAATAATTGCATAAATATTTGAAACTCATACACATCATCTAATCCAATTAAAAAACCTAAGCGTAAGACAAACATGACAGAAGTAACATTCACATTTTTTAAATTGTTGCCCAACAGTGTAAATAACTTGCCTTTACATTGGTCCTTGATGCAATTATATTTATCTCACATATCTTAACAAAGTTATCTATATGTTGTGCCNTAAATGATGTACAATGTTACTAAGTTGCAAATAATTGCATAAATATTTGAAACCCATACACATCATCTAATCCAATTAAAAAACCTAAGCGTAAGACAAACATGGCAGAAGTAACATTCACATTCTTTAAATTGTTGCCCAACAGTGTAAATAAGTTGCCTTTACATTGGTCCTTGATGCAATTATATTTATCTCACATATCTTAACAAAGTTATCTATATGTTGTGCCCACCATTAACCAAGATAAACTTATTTTCAATAAGTCCTACAAAGATTAGATTCAAAAATAAAGAAAAGAATAATTAAAGATAAAAAAAACATTCGAGAAGAGAAATACAAAGCCGATATGAAAAGGGAGAAGAATAATAGAAAAACAATATGAAAATATTAGAGAGTGATGATTGAATTTAGAATGCGAAGGTCAAAAGCCTTATATAACAGTTACAAACAGTGAATCACTCACTTCAAGATATCAAACATTCTATATCCTTAAAATTGTATTGTCTTTATCCTCTTTTTTTTTTAGTATATAATATGTCCAACTTCTTATTTTCTATATACAGAGAGAAAGAGAGACAATCTTTTAGGAGTTGTCTCTCTATCTCTTTTATTTTATAAATTAAAAATTTAATGAAAAAAATAAAATATGAGAAGTATGTCATAAATAATATTAATATAATAAATAGAAAGTGTNAACAAAGCCGACATGAAAAGAGAGAAGAATAATAGAAAAACAATATGAAAATATTAGAGAGTGATGATTGAATTTAGAATGAGAAGGTCAAAAGCCTTATATAAAAGTTACAAACAGTGAATCACTCACTTCAAGATATCAAACATTCTATATCCTTAAAATTATATTGTCTTTATCCTCTTTTTTTTTTTAGTATATAATATGTCCAACTTCTTATTTTCTATATACAGACAAAGAGAGACAATCTTTTAGGAGTTGTCTCCCTATCTCTTTTATTTTATAAATTAAAAATTTAATGGAGAAAATAAAATATGAGAAGTATGTCATAAATAATATTAATATAATAAATAGAAAGTGTAATTCATTGTCTTTAGTTTAGATACAAAATACCATTAATGAGTTACGGCTCGTCACTCAAATAAGATTCCTATACCATTAATGAGTTGCAGAGTCTCTGGGTGAGTGACGAGCCGTACAAATTGCATCCTGCGACTGCTTAGCCAATCATCACACACACTCTTTCTCTCTCTCTCTGCTCATCTCCCCATTGGACGGACTCCTCCCATTCAATTAATCAACTCAAGATTTTATTTTCACGTCCTCCCGCCTTTTTCCCCTATTCATCTTGGCAATTGCCACCCCCGATCACGATCAGCGGAAGTGGGGAGAAAGGGAGGGATAACTCCTAAGCGGCTAAGCCTGTCAATGCAACATACCGTTTTACGATTGTGCCATGTTAATATTTATTCTAAAATATGTGTACAATAAATAAATAAATAAATAAGATTATGTGTTCCGAGTTTGAAACTTTTTTTTTGTTTTTTTTTATAAATGAGAATAAGATTTAAGAGTAAGTACAATAACAAAAGACAGTAATTAAAAGCATCCTAATGTAGCATGGAGGGGATGTGCATCCAAATCCACTTGAGCTTTTGTTGAATTTGGCAGTTGGTCTGGCTGGAGTGGACCTGTATAACCCATAGCGAACTCTCATCTTGCTAATTCATGAGTAGTACCATTTGCATCCCTATGTGTGTGTACAAATTCCCATTCCGGATGATGCTGAAGAATGATTTTTATGTCTTGTACAATTGAGAATACAGTCCAATGAGATTTGACATGAGGGAGCATGATGGAATGAACTACAATCTGTGAGTCTCCTTCTATGAGCACATAAGACCATCGCTTGGCATGTGTCTATTCCACAGCTTGCCTTGCAGTTAGAGCTTCAGCTATGACTAGGTCTGTTTCTGTTATGATCTGGACTTCACTTCCTATAACTGATCCATCATGAAGTTTGGCAATTGCTGCAATAGATGAATTCTTATTTTCCACTGCTGTATCAAAGTTAACTTTTATAATTCTTTCATGAGGGGATCTCCAAAATTCTTGTGGTTTTTGGATTGGTGGGCCTTTGGATGGATTTTAACTTCTCTAAACTCATCAAAGGTCTTCAAAATTTGCTGGAGGAATTGATATGGAATGACTAGTTAACTATTGTGAAGAGTCTTATTCCTCCAAGTCTAGGTACTATAAGTCAAAATAGTTGTAAATACCAACAGTTCAGAGTAAGGAGGGCTATTGGGTCCAAAAAAGATGGTGGGATGGAGTATGTTCTGAATCCATTCCTGTAGACTGAGGTGAGAAAAAGAATTTGTGCAAAACCCTTGTTATGAACCAGACCATCCTAGGCAAATGGCAAAGTAAAAAGTGTTTGACTATAAAAAACAAAAGGAAAAAAAAAAAAGCAGAATTTTGACATCAGTCCTTAGGTTTAATAGAATTCTAAAAAGAATTTACTTACTATTTTTTTGATTAGGAACCTATTCAAAAGTCAAAGCAATTGATATACTAGCTCATTTTACAATTATAAAAAATAACGATAATATTATAATCTAATTTAAATGTATTTTAAAAGATGCGTTATTATAATGTATATTTTTCTCCACAAACACAAATCGTAACACAGGTACACAAAAAAAAAGTAAGCAATTAAAAATAAATATACTTTCAAGCCAAAAAATAATAGGTACACAATAAAAATAAAAATAAATAACAGGTACGTAATAAAAAATATAAAAATAATAGGTACACAATAAAAAAATAACAGGTACGCGATAAAAAAATATAAAAAATAACATGTGCGCAATAACCATCAGACAGGGACGTTGAAACACAGATCGTCAGACAGGTACACTAAAACACAGATCATCAAACAAGAACACTAAAATACAGATCCTCAGACAATTACACTAAAATACAAATCGTCAAATAAGTACACTAAAATATAGATCGTTAATGTATTTTATTCTCTATAAACACAGATCATTAATGTACATTCTTTTACATAAATATAGATCGTCAAACAACTATACTAAAATAATATTGTTAATGTACTTTCTTTTTCATAAATACAGATCGTCTGACAATTACACTAAAATACAAGTAGTCAGACAGTTACACTAAAACACAGATCGTCAGATAGGTACACTAAAACACAATTGTTAATGTACCTTTTTTCTCAATAAATATAAATCATCAAACATGTACATTAAAACACAAATCATCAGACGTCGTCGTAATGTCCATATTTACTTAGTTCACAAGTTTAAATTTTAAAATTGATAGGCAAACGAAACAAAATAATTATTATATTTTAGCCTTAAATCATGTGATGAGGGCAAAATAAGTAAAGAAAATTAGTAATTAACCAATTTATTAACATTTACGCCAACAGAGTCACGTTCAAGTTTTTCAAAAATCGAAGAACCTTTTTTTATATTAAAATTTTGATAGGATTAAAATTGATTTACACACCAAAGAAAAACCCTAATCTAATTAACTTTGAAAAAAAAAAAGAAGAGTCTAATAATGTTTTGGGCCAACAATTTTGCAGAAGTCGAAGAAGCGGCAAAAGCATATTCAAAGGGATCCATTGTGTTGGACCAACCATTTCATATAGTCCCTAAGTACTAATTTTTGGGTCGGAGTTTTTGTGAGATAACTGGGCCGCACAAACATACTGTATAACAGGCCTACAAATGTTTGGAATTTGGAGGCCCTATACACGATCTTTCAACCCATAGAGTGAAATTTATATGTTTCCAAAATGTTATTTGGACCTAATGATATATCCCAGGCGCTTTTATTCTTCCACTGGTCTTGAAAGCTGCAATTGAGTTTGATCTATTCGAGATCATGACGAAATGTAGTCCAGGTGCTCGATTCTCTGCCTCTGGGATCGCAACCCATCTCCCAACGCAAAACCCAGATGCCCCACTTATGCTTGACAGGATGATGCGGTTCCTTGCTAGCCAAAACTACCTCTCATGCACTCTTATCACCGGTGAAGACGGAAATGATGACCATAAGAGATTATTACCTGTATGCAAATGTTTTGTTCGCAATCAAGATGGAGTTTCTTCTGCTCCATTACTACTCTCGGCCATAGACAGAGTAATGGTTGAAAGTTGGTTCGTTTTTCTCCTTTTTCCCCTCTCTTGTTTGCCTAGCATCATCCATGACCCATCATGGTATTGCTAATACTCTTAGGCTCGTAAGCCTTAATTATTGGAGTGACAGTTGACTGTTATATATCTATATATGTAGGTACCTCTTAAGCAATGCAGTCCTTGAGGGAGGAATAGCGTTTAACAAGGCCCATGCTATGAGTGCATTTGAATATGCAGCCAAAGACGAGATTCAATGAGGTTTTTAATGAAGCAATGTGCAGCCACACTTGTATAGTCATGAGAAAAGTTGTTGACAAGTACAAGGGATTTGAGGGCGTAAAAGAAATTGTTGATGTAGGTGGTGGACTTGGTGCATCGCTAAGTTGTATTGTTTCCAAGTACCCTAATATTAAGGGTATCAACTTTGATTTACCTCATGTTATAGAACATGCACCAGCATCTCCAGGTAAATCAATATACCTGCTAATTAAGCTCAATCAACTACTATGGTTCGGTTTTAGCAGAAAACTCTCTTTTCATGAATATTTGTTTGTATCAATGGCTTCTTTTATTGCTTACTTTGAGTTTGATCATGAAAAATATGAATGATTTATTTCTTGCTGGTAGGTGTGGAGCATGTTGCAGGAGACATGTTTGAAAGCGTCCCAAAAGGAGAGGTTATCTTCTTGAAGGTTAGTATTATATTCTAGGAGATAAATAGTAATGGTCCATAGGTATAAACATGGCCATCCATTATTTGCATCAAGAACAAATGAAATGGGAATTGCCTATCATCTGAGTAATGAGAAAAAAAAAAGCATTAATTCTGTATCAGTGCAATTATTTTTGTATGGATAATGTTCGATACTGACTAAGAAGTCAGCATGTTATTTATTGNTATCATCTGAGTAATGAGAAAAAAAAAAGCATTAATTCTGTATCAGTGCAATTATTTTTGTATGGATAATGTTCGATACTGACTAAGAAGTCAGCATGTTATTTATTGTATAATGCTCAATCTTTTGTTTTTATTTTATTTTATTTGTAGTATAGGGTGATACCTTATATCTTGCATCAGAACGAGTTTTAGTAATATCCATCCCCAAATTGCAAACCCTTTCAGATCTGGCAGTGAAAAAAGACTATGTACTGGGTTATCCTCCTTACTCGAGNATACCTTATATCTTGCATCAGAACGAGTTTTAGTAATATCCATCCCCAAATTGCAAACCCTTTCAGATCTGGCAGTGAAAAAAGACTATGTACTGGGTTGTCCTCCTTACTCGAGCTCTAACGAAAATACCCAAAGGAGAGTAAGAATCTTTCTGCAGACAATGTTAAAGACCTTACCAACTTGTGAATTGAATTGACATACTCTTAAACCAAAGGCATAATAATGCTTTCCCTTATTTTGATATTAAAAGGTTGCTGAGTCATTATGTTATCATCAACTGTCTACCTACTCTTGTGGTGGATATACAAATATTTGATGTGACGAACACTTCTATTCTGGACACCAGCATTACCACACTCCCTTTAAGTACCTGCAGCAAACAAACATTTTTTTTCCCAAGTTCTTCAACAATTTCTTTCAACACATTCCCACATCTAAATTCAATCATGCATAACCTTAATGGCCAATTCATAGTGCCAAATGAAGAGGAACAATTCATAAAAGTGTTGAATTTTCCTGGGGCCTCAATTCTTCCCATGGTCATAAAAGCTGCTATCGAGCTCGATTTATTCGAGATCATGGCCAAAGCTCATCACCCAAGTGCCCAGCTATCGGCTCGTGAGATTGCATCCCATCTTCCCACAAAGAACCTCGAAGCCTCACTTATCCTCGATAGGATGCTGCGATTCCTTGCCAGCAACTCCATCCTCACTTGCTCGCTCATCAGAGATGAAGATGGACAGGCAACAAGATTATATGGCATGGGACCTATATGCAAGTACTTTGTTCGCAATCAACATGGAGTTTCTTTCGGTCCTTGTATTCAGTTCCTTCAAGACAAAATAGTCCTTGAATCTTGGTTTGTTTTCTTTACGCGTTCTTGTTTTTTGTTCTGCAAGTTGTTCTTTTGCAACCATGGTTCATGGTCGCGATATCTACCATTGACGAGACATATTTGAGTAAACCACAAAATGCAAACTTAGACTTGTGGTTTACATAAAAACGAAAGTTGTCGTTCTGGATACGACTCGGCTAAGTCTTGTTTTTACCACATGCATGAAGCATTAGTTCTCAAGTCCTAACCTGACATGTTGACATTGTACTACCTTCAATGTTCATGTAGGTACCAACTCAAAGATGTAATTATTGAGGGAGGAATCCCATTTGACAAGGGCCATGGGATGAATGCATTCGAATACCCTGGGAAAGACAACAGATTTAATGAAGTTTTCAAAAAGGCTATGAGCAGCCACTCCGCTCTAGTCATGGAAAAAATTCTTGAAACATACAAGGGGTTTGAGGGCATACAAGAGATAGTAGATGTGGGTGGTGGGCTTGGTGTAACACTACGTANTCATGGAAAAAATTCTTGAAACATACAAGGGGTTTGAGGGCATACAAGAGATAGTAGATGTGGGTGGTGGGCTTGGTGTAACACTACGTAGTATAGTTTCAAAGTACCCTCATATTAGGGGTATTACCTTTGATTTGCCTCATGTGATTAAAGATGCACCTCCTTGCTCAGGTGAAAACTGTTCTAATAAACAAATTCCTGTTTTGAACTTTTTCCCCGGACCCAAAACTTTTTTATTCTTTTATCTGCAATATTTTTATTTTCTCGAGGTTGATCATGAGTAGCATATATATGCCCTTTTGGTGCTAGGTGTGGAGCATGTTGGGGGAGATATGTTCGAAAGTGTTCCAAAAGGGGAGGCTATCTTCATGAAGGTTGGCCACTTATCTTTTGCTGAAAAGTATATATATATTAGTTCTAAAAAATCTGCCTCTTGCATGTGCAAAACATAACTAGTCAATTCTAAGAGTCTTCTCACCGCAAGAATTAGGGTCTTTTGAGATAATTTTTTGTGACCACGGTATCCACCGTCACAAAAAAAACATGTTTTGAAGGAAAAAAAATATTTTTTGTGACCACGGTATCCACCATCACAAAAAAAACATGTTTTGAAGGGAAAAAAAATATTTTTTGTGACTGTAGTGTTGTCATAAAAATTGTATTTAATATTATTTGAAACTGTCGTTGCCGCTATAAAGATATTTTGAAACTCTACTTATTATAACGAGGTATGTCATTACAACATCTCGCGACAATAAGTGGAGTATTAAAAGTCTTTGTGGTGGCAACAACTTATCTCAAATAGCATTTGTGGTAATAAACAATTTTTATATGATAGCACTACCATCACAATTTTTTTTTTTAAACACATTTTTTTGTGACGGTGAACACTACCAATAGTAAAAAATTTATCTCAAAACACCCTATAATTCTTGCAGTGTCTTTCTACCATTAGAAACGTCCTTCATGATTGGTGTGATGATCACTGCTTGAAGATATTGAAGAACTGCTGGAATGCATTACCAAATTCTGGTAAGGTGATAGTGGTGGAATTAATAATACCAGAATACGCTGAAACTGATCTTAGGTCTCAAAATGCCATTATCGTTGACATGATAATGTTGAATATCAACCCCGGAGGAAAAGAGAGGACAGAGAAGGAGTTTGAGACATTGGCAAGAGGAGCTGGATTTACTGCGTTGAAACTTATATGTCGCAAATAATTATTGGGTCGTCGAATTCTATAAGACACTATAATTTTTTAACGATGGAGAGACCGGAACCTAGCCNTTATCGTTGACATGATAATGTTGAATATCAACCCCGGAGGAAAAGAGAGGACAGAGAAGGAGTTTGAGACATTGGCAAGAGGAGCTGGATTTACTGCATTGAAACTTATATGTCGCAAATAATTATTGGGTCATCGAATTCTATAAGACACTATAATTTTTTAACGATGGAGAGACCGGAACCTAGTCTTCTTGTGATCTACTTTCCTTCCTAATAATATTTCTCTATATCTTCATTCATTCGTGAAGATTGAACTGCGGTTTGTGGTTAAGTTTTGTCCAACGTCTTGGANCTTCTTGTGATCTACTTTCCTTCCTAATAATATTTCTCTATATCTTCATTCATTCGTGAAGATTGAACTGCGGTTTGTGGTTAAGTTTTGTCCAACGTCTTGGAATTCTTAATCATTGTTGTGATTATTTTCTTTTACTTTTATTTTTGTTGTTGAAATAATGGTTGGATTCCTTGTTCACCATTGTTATGCATTTCTTCCTTTAATTAAAGTTTAGTTTTTGGTGGTTGATTATGGATGATGATTGATGTGTCTATTTTTTGACTTCAATGTAATTATTGACGTATAGAATGAGGATCAACGTCAATGACTCTTTTTGGGGGGGAAAGGAGAAGGGGATAAGGTTTGAACCTGTAGGTTAAAGTGAACTCTAACTACTAGACCACGCTCCGAGAGTCTCACCTACTGGTGTGACTTATTAACAGCTATGACATATTTTAAGAACAAATTCAAATGGACAAGTATCAAAGATATATGATTCCAAATGAACAAGTCCAAACTTGAAAATGATGTCTGTTATTCTAGAACAATGAAGACCGAAGGGATAGATCAAGAAATACCTCTTATGGGTAGACATCAAAGAATCCAAATTCCAAATGAACCAATCAATGCCATACGTGGACCCCCGCATTGTTTTTGTCACATTTGCACCACCGGTGATGACTCCCAGTCGCTCACCTGAGTCTTGTCCTCCATGGATCAGCTCATTGATGGTGGATCAAATCCCAAATTCCAATCTGGTAAACTTAGACACTGAAGAAATTGAAGAGCTNATGGATCAGCTCATTGATGGTGGATCAAATCCCAAATTCCAATCTGGTAAACTTAGACACTGAAGAAATTGAAGAGCTGCAGCGGTCCTCGTCCTAGCCTTGATTAGGCTGCCATTGCCCTTTCCACCATGCATTGAATTTGGATGGTACAAATCTNCTGCAGCGGTCCTCGTCCTAGCCTTGATTAGGCTGCCATTGCCCTTTCCACCATGCTTTGAATTTGGATGGTACAAATNGCGGTCCTCGTCCTAGCCTTGATTAGGCTGCCATTGCCCTTTCCACCATGCATTGAATTTGGATGGTACAAATCTCTCTCTCTCTCTCTCTGTGACTGACACCAGAGGTACACACTTTAGACCTGCTATTATCACTTACAAATACTCCCAACCCAGATGAATAGTATTTTTAAACCCACATATAACCTCTTAAATAAACCCATCTATTTGGCAGATTTTAAAGGTCAAATTGGAATATGTTTGGACAAAAGATATTTTTACCCTTGAGAATCTCTAAGATATAATTATCTTGAGGGTTCTTTAGTAATTTAATATTTACACTATCATTCAATACTTCATCCAAATAAAATATTGAATGAGATAAATGTAAAACCCACTATTACTTAATATTTGAATGAAACATGGAAGGAAACAACATTATTACTATAATTAGTTCAAGGCCCAGATAAATAGATATGAGATGAACAGGTTGGTCTAATCCGATACTATCTAATACCTAAACCAAACACACCTTAAGGGAGTTATATATAAGTTTTTTAAGTATAAGGAGGTTAATTAAAAATAGACCAAACCATTGTAAAACTATGGTAAGCAAATAAAAGAAACAGAGATCTTGTTTGAATGGTTTGGCTTAATCACCAAAACCTTATGTATTGCTTTGTAGTTATAGCTATACAATTAGAACTAAATGAGTAAGAACAGGGAGTAACAGAAGGAGTCAGTTTAGGCTAACGTATACTTTCTATGCTGCAGACTGGTTCTGCACCAACTGAATCCCTTGTTTTACTGCAGGCACTTTTTGCTCTCTCTGAATACACTCTAACAACCACAAGTAGGTAATTCATAATTTGCCCTTTAATCAAATATTAAAAGACTTAAACAGTGGCTAGTCATGTTCCGCATGAAGTGTTTACCCAAAAAAAAATTCAACACTTGTCCATGTTTTAGCAAAATTCTTTCACCATACTCAAATCCCCATATCCAACTTTCAATCATGTCCAACCTTAATGGCCAAATCAAAGTGTCCAATGAAGAGGAAGATTTCTTAAAAGTGTTGAATTTACCTGGTGTCTCAGTTCTTCCCATGGTACTAAAAGCTGCCATCGAGCTCGATTTATTCGAGATCATGGCAAAAGCTGATCACCCAAGTGCCCAGCTCTCGGCTCGTGAGATCGCATCCTTTCTTCCAACACAGAACCCAGATGCCCCAGCAATGCTTGATCGGATGCTGAGAGTCCTTGCTAGCAACTCCATCCTGACTTGCACTCTCATCACAGATGACGATGGACATGCAAAAAGATTATATGGCTTGGAACCTATATGCAGACACTTTGTCAACGATCATCATGGAGTTTCTCTCTCTCCAACTATACTCTTACTTCAAGACAAAGTAATCATTGATAGTTGGTCTGTTTTCTCTCTCTGTATTCTTGTGTTCTTGCTGCTGCAGGCTATTCTTCTGCACCATGCATGAAATATTAGTTCTGAAGTCTCAAACTTATATGTTGACAATCGTCATTGGTTTAGCATTCGAACTAGGGGTAATGTCTAATCATGTCTGTCCTTGAGTTCAANAGGCTATTCTTCTGCACCATGCATGAAATATTAGTTCTGAAGTCTCAAACTTATATCTTGACAATCGTCATTGGTTTAGCATTCGAACTAGGGGTAATGTCTAATCATGTCTGTCCTTGAGTTCAAGTCTCATTGCCGCATAAATCATAAGTTTAATTGATGCCCATGGTCTAGACTCTAGAGATGATTATGTACATCAAAGATTTACACTGCAGCTATAAATCTAACAAATGATGATTGAAATGATTCCCCATTACCGAGAAAAATTTGCATGTTGACATTATACTGCCGTCAATTTTGATGTAGGCACCACCTGAAAGATGCAATTATAGATGGAGGAATCCCATTTAACAAGGCCCATGGGATGCATGCATTCGAATACCATGGAAAAGACAACAGATTTAATGAGGTTTTCAATAATGGGATGCACAGCCACACCACTACAGTTATGAACAAAATTCTTGAAACGTACAAGGGATTTGAGGGCATACAAGAGGTAGTAGACGTGGGTGGTGGGTTTGGTGCCACACTGAGGAGAATAGTTTCCAAGTACCCTAATATTAGGGGTATTAACTTTGATCTGCCTCATGTGATTAAAGATGCACCTCCTTGCCCAGGTAAAAACCAACTCACTTAACATGTTCAAACAAATTACTATTTTGCCAAATCTGAGATTATTGCCATTTGTTTTCCCATGAGGTTGATCATAGTCAGCACATATACATGCATATATATATACATATCTATGTCCTTTTCTGGTGTTAGGTGTGGAGCATGTTGGGGGAGATATGTTCAAAAGTGTTCCAAAAGGCGAAGTCATCTTCATGAAGGTTTGCCACTAATCTTTGAAATAAAATGGCATTTAAAGATATGTTTACAAAAACTAATTAGAGGGGGATGACCAATTAAGAGTAGCTCAGGTTACAGGATTCAGCGGTTCATACCTCAAGATCTTAAATTCTAGTCTNAAATAAAATGGCATTTAAAGATATGTTTACAAAAACTAATTAGAGGGGGATGACCAGTTAAGAGTAGCTCAGGTTACAGGATTCAGCGGTTCATACCTCAAGATCTTAAATTCTAGTTTCATAAAAGATCACTCTAATCAAACATCACTATACATTAGACAAAATTAAAAAAAAAATTGAGGATTTTTGACCCAAATTTCGTGTTTACTCCAATGAATTTTTTTGACTCTCTTCTATAACTTTTTATGTCACACTGTAGTGGATACTTCATGATTGGAGTGATGATCACTGCTTGAAGTTACTAAAGAATTGCTGGAATACACTACCAGATTCGGGCAAAGTGATAGTGGTAGAATCGATATTGCCGGAATATCCAGAGACAGATTTCATGTCCCAAACTGTCATTCGCTCGGACATGTTAATGTTGACATTGAATCCCGGTGGGAAAGAGAGGACAGAGAAAGAATATGAAGAATTGGCAAGTGGAGCAGGATTCACTACTGTGAAACTTGTATGTCGTGTATATAGCTACTGGGTCATAGAGTACTGCAAGGAATAGAACTTTTAGTAAGCATGAAAACCAAATATGCTTTGTTGGGACTTTTTAGATGAGAGCATCAAATATGGCGTCTACTTGTTTTCCAAAAGATTATGTTCTTTACCATCTCCTAGAAGGCTTGAACCATTCTTATTAATGGTAATTCTTAATTTCTTTTCCACGTGTAAAGGAGTCCAAATTAGTTAATAATAAATATAGATGTTTAAAATAATATACTAATTCAAAAGTGCTAGCATACTATACTGAAAATAATCTAACAAGTCTGATTATTTTTCCCAAGACAAGTAGTCTGATGCAAATTTTCATATTCTACATACAACTTAAATTCTCAAGCATCCAATTAACTGCGATCAATCAATCCAAGTTAAACGTAGCACACTAATGTACACCTTGTTTGAATAAATGAAAACAGGTTCTGTTCAGAATCATACCTGCTTACTTTCTTTCAGTGGCATAGCTTCCTTTATGCCACTCCTTGTCCCTCAATTTCCCATGCATTTGCTTCCCCTGCATTCGACACAATCCATCTGAAATAACTGAGTGATTCAATTATGGAATCTCAGATGAACCACACCATTGTTGCATCCACAAGCCCCTGCACTAAGGAACACCATTTATCAGTGTGTGAGACTTACTTATAAAGGAGAAGTTTGATAGAGAATGAGCAGAGATGGCAGAGGGATGCAAGTGACTCAATGGATGAGGGACAGAGAACAAGCAGGATGAGACTGAGCTTCATGTGTTGCAGCCTTTGTGAGAGGAACCTCCAACACTTTTTTGAACATTACCACAACCACAATCAAAGAATTTTGGAGCATCTCCCATGACATCAAGTCAAGATCTCAGGCAAAAGCTAACCCACAAAACTGATCCATCCTGCAAATTCAGAAATATAAAAATTCAGAGTTCAGAATGGCGAATAAGCACTTATGATGTGATCAAAAATTGAAACTCTGATGTCAACTCTTTCATATCCGTAGCTGTTGCTTTGTTACCCACCTCTGAATCAAGAACATTCTTCACACAGAAAGTACATTAGAAGCCTCCAATCCATTGATTGTCCCCGTCAACTTTCAGCCAGCAGGTAGTGATTTCAACAAAATGTGGCAAAAACTCTGACCTCACTTGTCTAACAAACCAATTCGCTATTTGACAACCATGGACAGATGCACGTCTTTTTCCTTGCAAAGATAAGCAAGCTCATGTTTTGGCCCCCTACTATAGTTGGCCACATGAACATCCTCAGACAAGCATTCCAAACCTATGCAGAACCTCAATCGGAAAGAACTTGCTTTGGGGGTTTTATAAAAGGGTGCAACAAATGTAAATTTCCTGATTTCATCAGACCCTTCAAATTGGTTCAAATCCAGGAAAACAAATTGAGTCAACTCATTGTCAAGTCTCATTCTCAGCCACAACCTAGTCTCACTCAAGAAGTTATACAAAGTAACCTCAAATGGTATACCAACAGGTAGTCCAGCAATGAAAGGAAGAGGGTCCTCAAAGTCACTGCCCTGAGCATCCAGCTCGGCCCAGACATGTTTAAGTTCTCCACACAACATAAATTGCTTCAACGAGAAAAATTCAAGTAACTTCTGAAACAAAAATGGACTGTAGGAATCCCCATCATCACAGGTGCCAACTTCACGCAATGAATTCCGAAGTTCAATCACAAACTTTGAAGGTTCAATGGATCCTTCTTCGTGCAGAAATTCTACTCTTGATATTGTAGAATATAGCTTCTTCAAAGCAGATTGAGGACAGCCGACTCCAACATAAGACAACCTCAGAGTATAAGTGATAAGTATCAGCTCCAAGATGTGCAACTCCTCTTCTTTGCTCAACCCTATGAACCTGTACCTCATATCTCTAAGGCTTCTGTCTAATTTTCCCAAAACAGGTCCCAACTCTCCCAATGCATTCAGCTGGAGCTTTCTTATTGACAAAAAATCCACCCATACCTTTCCAAGCAGTTTGACAACCTGAAGATATTTAGAAATAAAACTCAACACACCAGCAGACTGAAGTGAGTCAGTGGCATATGTTGCCAACTCTTCCTTCCAGCTCCTGCATATGCCAAGGAATAAGAACATCTAGTAAGCAAAGATGCAAGCAATCTAGCAAAGAGTATATGCACAGGTCCCAAGGGAACTACAATATATGGCCTAAAAAAGGCACCCATAGAATGAAGATAATGAGAAGGCCATGTGAATATGCTATTGTAACATGCATATTCTGTTGTCCCCTTCAAATGAGGAACCCAAAGAACAACAACCTTCAAATAGGGAACCAAATAGTGAAATTGAGATAATTAATACTTAGGATCATCAAATGGGTGATCTAGGGCCAAACTGATCGCTACAGTGCAGATGTTAGCCATCCTGCACTATGGCCTTAACCTCTCCAGAAGCACTACGACCAAAGAATGTAAATGCATGGATAATCAACTCAAAATGAATCCCAATGAGTTTGCTAAATGAGATTTGGATCAAGGAAGCTCCTAGCATTGTATACTAAACATAGGAAGAAACCGTAAGGCCTTATAGCCTAAAAATATCAAGGAAAAGATGAGATAATACTACCTCAATGTCCTAATTACATCATCCATGCACCCAAATTGTATTAGTGTCCAAATATCCTTCATTTTGGCAAGGATAAACTTCAAAAAATTTGTTACTTCATCATGCACCTCCAGCTGGTAGCCTACAGGTGGAGTTATGACTTCCCTCGGCCCATATGTTTTCTGAGAATCTGTTTCACAGAACCCATCACTGATTTGCAGCAAGTGCATCCCAACAGGACTACTTGTCGAAGTGCAGGTAACACTTGGAGGATCACCATTCACCACAGGGGAGACTGGCTCTTCCCCTTTGAAAAATTCCGATGCAGAGAATACTGAAGATCTACTGCAATGAGTCAAATAAGCCAAAAGGGTATCTTGACTCATAACATCAGCCAAACCCCGAGAAATTCTACCTAGCAAAGTAACCGCATAAGAGAACATAATCGGTGGAATACTGCAAATGTGCCGTTCATGAGAGAATGGAGTTGAGATGCCAAGCACTAGAAGTGAAGCCACTCTTGCACTATCTAATCCCAATTTGCCATCAAAAGAAGGTTCTATCTGAAGCATATACAAAGGAAAAGGCAAAAGAGATTATCAGTCAATCTGATAAACCTAATCTGCTGCATAAATACAATGCGGACAGAATAAAACTCAAACATAGCCCGTTACAATTGAAAACTCAAGAGACCAATAGAGAGTCTGTATAAACAGTGAGGTGACTAGACATAGAGTTCAAAATTTCCCATTGTTTTTTTATTCGTAAATAGTTTCCCAGTGTGTTAAACAAAACATTCTTCATACTTTGTCACAAGACATTATAGATGTTAGCTAGTTGGACATATGCTCAATGTTACCTATATCGTGGATCGCTTTAGTACATGATAGAGGTGCGAGTAAAGGATACAACATTTTCTTAAGTGCGCAGNGGATCGCTTTAGTACATGATAGAGGTGCGAGTAAAGGATACAACATTTTCTTAAGTACACGGTATGATGAGGGTAAACTTAGCTGGTATAATATTTTGAGTCACAATTCGTTTTAGAACTCTTATCTAGATCGTTGTTACCACAATAAAAAATTATATATCATAAAACATCGGTAAACATTAAGTTAGTTACCATGTATCTTATATTTGTACTTGATTTCTATTATCTAAAATAATATATAATTATAAATCTATATACACGTAGTTTATTAATATGTATTTTATATTTGTACTATATGTACAATTCGGGATCATACATTTTTGTGATCTGAATCACGAACTCACCCAGTTTCAGNTTAATATGTATTTTATATTTGTACTATATGTACAATTCGGGATCATACATTTTTGTAATCTGAATCACGAACTCACCCTGTTTCAGATTGATGTACTAGAACGTGGGTTGTCAAGGATTTAGTGAATTTTGGTATGCTTCCAATATGTAATTGTGGAAAGTTTCAAAATGAAGTTTTGCACAAATGCTCCCAAAAAAAAACCAGATAAGAACCACTTTTGACCAAATCATGGTGACAATTAAAGAGTATACTCACTCTTCATACTTTCTCACGGTTTATCAATTATGTTGGTTAGTTGGACATATTCTGCCAATATGTATCCGTGTAAAGATGAAAAATAAAGTTCTGCACAGATGCTTCCTCAAAAAACCAGGCATGAACCATTCTCAGTAAAATTATCGTGACTATTAAATAATATAAATAGAAAATAGATGTAAGCTAATCTACATCCTGCTAAGATAGAAAGACTGCATTAGACTGAGTGATGACTTTAACAATACACCTGCTGGCTGAAACAGCAGGTGACAAGCATAGCATGTCACCAGAACCTTGTGCCTAATCCGAAAATAGCACACGTAACACAGACTCAAAATAAATCAAAAAGGTTATTCGGCCAACAAGATGTAGATTACCCCCTATATTAGCCAAAAGATTCAAGTGGACGTATTTAATAATACCACAACAACAAAGCAATGCTTCAATGTTCAAGTCTAGTCAAAAAACTAAAGGAGACAATGTTCATTGGATTGTTAAAGCTAGATGCAATGCGTAGACAGTGCCATACTAACCTCCTGAAATGCCTCCTCGATGACGCTGGAAGCAAGTTTCCCATGACTTCGACCAATATTAAATAAAACAGCAAATACATCAACTTCATCCTGAAATATTTAAGAAAACCAGTAGCAATATTCAACAAAATTGTGACTAGGACCATACACCAGAAACTGCAAGGCTAAACCAAACTATGTTCTATCTCAGAAAATGTAATTCGTGATAAATTGATAATTGCATATCAAGAGATGTATAAGATAAAGAGCAATCCAAAAGATTAAAAAGATTTCCGTACAACAGGTAAAAAAAAAATAAAAAATCACCCCATGTATCAAAATAAAAACTAAAAAATGGATGGAGAGGGTTGAGGGACAACAGACCTGTGGATACATTTCCAAATTTTCTATCAGGCCATGAAGGCATAATTTGCACATATCCAAATTATGTAGCTTGGTTAATCGAAGTATTTTCCTTGCTGCAGATCTTATTAAGGTACTTGTGTCAACTAAAGTGCCAAGTAACTGCAAAACCAAAAAAATGACAGCATTAAAAAATGACATAATAATGTCAGTTCTTTCAATGAGAAATGCAATATGCAAAACCAACGGCTCATGTATGCTTCAAAACTCATATAGTTCGATAACATGGAAAATGACAAGAATAACATGGCATTCAAACTGCAGACATTAAAAGAGGAAGAAAGGCTGAAGGTTCAAGAGGATCAGATGGTGGAACCAAGGTTGAAGAATGATTAGAATCGTAGACTGCAATTTAGATGCAACTGCCTGACCACATAAGGCTTAGTCTCCAAGTATTTCAATAAAATCCAATCAAGCAGGGTTCAGGAGGACCCATTCTTTATAAGTTTACTTAAAACTCCCAATCATCATGGATTTGAAGGTTTAACCAAGGTACCAATGAGTTTCCTTTTTTTAATCAAAAACAGAACTTTCAATAAAAACAGTAAAAAATGCAAAGTGGACAACAAATCCACCCAAAATTACAAGCCAGTTAGTATTATTAAATACAACAGCTGAATGCTCACACTAAGTGTATGAATCATATCATGCATGCATATATGGTATGTAGATGAAAGCCATCGAAATTTTATAACCATGAAACTTCAAATCCAGTCAGTGGCTGCATATGCATCAGAAACTTACCATGTGCAAGTGTGCTTCTTGGACCTCTAGATTCTTAAATATTGCCATATGATGCAATGTTTCCATAGCTTGCAAGCGTACAACTGTTGAATCATCATTCAGCACATCCATTAATAAATTTAAGATTTGGCCAGCAAATTCAGAAGAGAGGATGGTGAGTGTACGCAAGGAAAAACAAGCAGACCTTCGCACCTTCAGATCAATCAAATATTGTTAGAATTAGATAATCCTACAGGTAAAATAACTATGATATTCTGAGAATAAAGATAGGCCACATTCAAAGACCTAACTAACAAGCAGTGTGCATTGATATCATTGTCTAGTCCGAAACAAGGCACATGAATGGACTTGTCTCACCATCTCAAAAGAGAAGATATCATTGTCAGGTCCGAAATAATATTTACCTCATAAAATTCATCCTCCAGCCCGTGTACAAAAGCTCCTGCAGCATTCGATGCTGGAATTTCAAACTGTTTTGCAGTGAACTGGCCAGGATATTTCTTTTTCTTATTGATCTCCAGAACCTTCTTAGATACGGTTTGTAATAGAACATCCGCGGTTACAGTGGGTATCTTCCCAAGAGCATCAAAAGCTTCCACCCTAACCTTAACACTCATGTCCCTCACCATTGAACAGAGCTGCAAGCATATATGAAGCAAGACATATCAGGTAAGAAAAAAAAATTCACTACTATTGTAATGACGCCCAAATATGTGACAAAATTGACATGAAGAATGTGTCCTACCTTATGCCTGATGTGAGAATGAGGTGGGTTATTTTCTTCAGGATGAACTATACAAAACTTGGCCCTAACAATTACGATTACGAATACAATCGAATCGAAACACTCTGAACATCAAATTAAGTATATGTGAGAGAGAGAGAGAGAGAGAGACCACATGTTACGTAGCAGAAGTCAGATTCGAAAAATATTTAAAATCCTATCTATGGAAGGATCCAGGCATCCAACAGGAAGTTTATTGTTATCTAGGTCAACAACATCAGCACTATGGACAATTTTTTCCAGCCACCAGGTCGCAACCTAAGTTTAGAACATGTATACGATGCATTAAAAGATGAAACCCAGAAAAAATGCCATCCTCAAATAGTTGGGATACAACTTTGTTTGAGTGAGTTGAGTATTACAAAAATTTGATATAACACAACCAACTTCCACATGTACTTCAAGCATTACTTGCTATATTTCCCAAAAAAATTGGTAATCTTGCACCAATACCTGTACAAATAACAAATCTGACCAATCTTTTTTCCGTTGGTCTTCATTGGATGCCACAAGCACTTGCCCCCATTCAATAACCTGAGATTACAAAAATGAATAAAGCCGATTATTTGTTCTGGCACATGTCAATGCAAATAACGCAATCCACCATCCTACACTTCCACCCTCTTTGTTCACTAAAAAGGGGCGGATGCCACTTATTTTATACACAAAACATTAACAAAATACCAAAAAAAAAAAAAAAAAAAGTCTTTAGAGCAAAGAGAGTTTGATTGATCTTATTGCAGCTCAGAGCTACAAGAGCCTGTGCTTTCAGTAAACAACTTCTTATTACAATGACAATAAAAATGTTCGAACCAACAAGAATAACAAAATCCAAAACATAAATTATAGCATTCCATTTCAAATCAAGCACAAACCTCACCAATGAGCTGTTTGGCATCTACAGTGAATTGAGGAGGCCAGCATGTCTTAAGTAGTATACTAATTGCAACTTTGCAAGTCTATTGTTGTGTTTCAGAACTAGGGGAGCCAGGAAGCTTCTACTAGTATACATAGGCGTGCAATATAGTGCTTGTACAACAACCACTAGATTGCAAGTTTGAATTTAAAGATGCCAACAACCGTCTATCTCCAAACAATTTAACAAAAAATGCCAACAAACGTTAATTTCTACACAACAAAGACAATGACTTGACAACTCAACAATCATCGACCCAGTATCATACCGTCCGAACCGCCGAACACCTCACACAGTCCTCCATATCATATAAAAGTTCAACCGCACGAACATAGCAACCTTCAATCAGGCTTTGATCGTCAACAATCACAGACTTAGGTAAACCAGCCAGTCCATCCAAAGCAGCTTTTCGTATATACGGATAGGGGTCCTTTGTAAACCCTAACAAAACCATAATCAAGACACTCGGTCTGACATGAAATTCATTCACAGTTTTTAATAGCCAATGCTGGACTGATACACAAGGACGAAAACAGAGCGATAGAAAGAGACTCTCAGTGGTGTCTGCGAGAGACGGAACAAAGGCTTGATTGCGTTCGGAGAGAGAGATGAGGAGACAGAGAGAGTCCGCGAGTGAGCGAGTTGAGGTGGTGGGGAGGAGAGAAAAAGAATGGATGGTGGCAAATATTTGGGGACATAGTTGTGGTTGGTGGATGGAGAGATCGGAGAGGAGAGAGAAAATGTGGTGAAGAGATAGGGGGTTTTGGGTGGGTAGTGATTGGAGAGTGAGGGTTAGGGTTTTGAGGAGGGAAGAGATTGTTTGTTGGGAAATAAAAGGGTTGGTGATGAGAGAGCGGGCGAGACATAGGGTGTGTAGAGAGAGAGGTTTATTGAGTGGGTTTTGGTTGAGGATTTGCTCTAACGTGGATACAAGTTGTTGCTCCATTGTTGATCAGTAAGAACACCGAGTTATGATATGTAACACACACACAGCTCTTTCCGACGAGGACTAGAGGGAGGGAGAGGGAGAGAGAGAGAGAGAGAGGGAGGGAGGGGGCGCATGTCGGTGTGAGGGGAATAGTGGAGTGTTGTTCTGCGATTGCGACGATGAGTTGCCGGGTATGGCTCGTCTGCGGTTGGGGACTTACCGCATGAAATGCGGTTTAATGAACCGCAGCCGTTTCACTGCTGTTTTTGATGGTTTTTTTTTTATAACTGACCCTTACCGAACGACGTCGTTTTGGTTGAGCTATAATCAACACCCTTTTCTTTCTCCCACTTCTTCTTCGTCGAGTTTGTTCTTCCGCCTTCTTCACTGCACAAACTTCTCCATCTTCTTCTTCCTCAGGTCAGGCTGCATTCAAACTTGAATAGATTCTTTTGACTGTTTTTTCCTTTACTGAGACACAAAACTTTAATGAGTATATAATCTTCATCAGGTCTGGCTGCATTCAACCTTGACTGTTGGTCTTTCTCAGTCAATTTTGCTAAATAATCATTTTCATTTCATAAGTGTAACTTTAAATAGTTGTAATTTTTCTTTCTGAATTTACATGTAAAGATGCGATTTTTAATATGTGTAACTACTCAAATGACTGCAAGTTTGTTTTGATTAGACTTGTTTGAAGTTTATAAGTATGAACTGAAGCTTTAGCCAAATTTTTTGGATGTTTAATTTGGAAAGAGTAACTGAAACTTTCTGGGTGTTTAATTTGGAAAGAGTAAATGATTGTTTTGGGTTTGAATTATAGGGTTTTCCAAGTTGGGATTTCTTCATTATTATTATGGTAAAACACTAGTTTTTTTAGGTTCTATGTGATTGTAAGAAATTCCTCCTTTGTAAATATCTTTTGAGTTATTGCAATGAATAATGGAGAAATATGCAGTCTTTAAATTTTTTGGTACAAAAATGAAAAGAAAAAAGAGTCTCTGCCACTACTTATTCTGTTTGGAAAAAACTGTTCTCTTGGACATGATTTTTTTTACAAAAATTATGTGTATTAATCTTTGTGCTTGTTGGTTTGTTAATGGAATAATGATTAATTTTTTTAAGAATTATGTAACCTTATGTACATGACATCTAGTTCCATCTATGACTGCAAGTTCCATCTATGACTGCAAGTTCCATCTAATGTCATTTTAATTAAATTTCTTATTGTAAGATATTATGATGAATGATTTGGGAATTAATACGACTGAAAATATACCTCATATGGTATGTAATTTGATATCGAGGAAGATGCTTATGCGTTTTACAATAGTTATGGAGAGTCTGTGGGATTTAGCGTGAGGAAAGATTTTTAAAATAAAAGTTTGAAAGATGGCGTTGTCATTTACAGAAAATATGTTTGTTGTAAATAAGGTCAAAGAGGTTGTGATAAAAGAGAGTGTCAAATAAGGAAGTCTCGAGCAGAGACAAGAACAAATTGTCAAGCTTATATGTGTATATCTTTTAATAGAAAAATTGATAATTTTTTTGTGGTGAAGTGGAATGACAACCACAACCATCCTTTTACCTTGCTGAATGTATGCATATGATGTCATCCCAACGGAAGGTTACCGCAACACAAGGCATTAATATTGATATGACAGCAGATTATGGATTGTCAATTAAGACTTCCTATGATCTTTTAAGTACTCAGTCTGGAGGAAAGGAAAATCTTGATTTTACTCGTTAAGACCAAAAGAATTACCTCCGTAAAAATAGGCAACGAGACTTGAAGTATGGTGAGGTGAGTAATTTGTTGAAATATTTTCAAATGGAAGCAGTAAAAAATCTATCATTCTATTATGGAGTACAATTGGATGCGAAAGAGCATATTACTAATATTTTTTGGATTGACCCAATGATGATTATTAACTATGACAACTTTGGAAATGTTGTCTTATTTGACACTACTTTTAGAATGAACAAGGAGTATCGACTCTTTACTTGTTTTACTGGTTTCAATCATTTCAGGGAGACAGTCTTATTTGAAGCTGCATTATTATATAATGAAATAGTAGCATCATTTCAGTGGTTGTTTGAAACATTCCTACAAGCTATGTCTGAAAAATATCCTATTACCATTTTCATCGACCAAGATCAAACGATGGCCAAGGCTATTTCTATAGTCATGTCAGAGACATATCATGGGTTATGTACTTGGCACCTTTGCGAAAAATACTTTGAAAGATTTGGAGAACATATATAAGGATGGTTCACAATTTTCGGCTCAATTTAAAGAGTGTATATATGGATATGAGAAAGGAGCATGAATTATTTGAGGCTTAGGAATCGTTGCTTGTAGAGTATAATTTGCATGATAATATGTGGATGAAAGTCACTTAGGCATTGCGAGAAAAATGGGGACATGTGTATATGAAGAGGACTTTCACCGTAGGAATGAGAAACACCCAATTGAGTGAGAGCTTGAATGCAGCCTTACAGAAGTACTTAAAGTCAGACCATGACAT